GCCAGATCGTCATCATTCACAAAAGCTCTGAGCATTTTTATTCAATCCACGGTGCAACACGAGTAAGCCCTTTTTTGAACAGTATCTAAACAGCTCCCTTTCAGTCACAGATTTCAAATTGCTCCTCAATATACACTCGTGTACCCTCTTCTTGGCAGTTATTTTCAGAGATTTCGACGATTGACTCATCATTCTCGAAGAGTCACTTATATGAACGATAAAGGCATTCCCTCAATCTTAAATCATAATCCAACATGGATAGAAGAACCTATCAGTTTACATAACTGAAGAGTATGCTTGACAATGAGCAATAAGTTCCATATACGAGAACCTCCCTTTTCCGATGACGAAACGGCAGATGTCTGGAATATTTCCCCCGAGGCTATTAACTCGCTGTAATTCCAGACTGCTTCATATACGATTCCTTTAATCTCCTCAGCACCTGCACCCGTGCGAGAAAAAATAAATTGTAATCGGTGAAAAGATTCTGCTCTTCTGACGCCAGACATAAAAACCAACCGATATTGAATTTCATTGTCAGTTACCATCAATAAAAAGCTCATTATTATACTGAGACATTCCCTGAGCTTCCGGTAAATCCTGTGCAGCTGAAATGCAGAATGAGTAGTTAATAAGTCGGGATTGGGCTGGAATGTCTGTTGCGTCATCGGTGATTAATCATGTCCAACGTGCAGACACGATGCCGTTTTGACTGAGAGTATGAGACCAAATCTTCTACCAGTAGGCTACATCCAGCAGAATGAATGGCGGCTTTCTGCGCGAACCAGCCTGAAAGGCTGTTACGAAGAAAGGGATGAGTCTGAAGACTAAGCTGTCTGTGTTCAAGTCGATTTTTATCCCTACGCTCAGATATGATTATGAGTCGTGCAATAAAACTGATAAACCTCGATCCCGACTAAGAAGGATTGAAATGGACTTATTGAGACCAATCGTTTGGTCTCGACATTGTCCAAAGTTCAGGTATACGAACGAAGCAGCTGCTTCTGCTTGAAAAATCACAGCTGCGAGCAAAGGCTTCCAGAAGAATTGGGCTGATTGCGCAACCGACTGACCGAAGACCCCAGGAGGACAGCTAAGAATGACCCCAGGCAAGTATCTTGACGGACTCTGTGTCAGTCTCTGGTTATCTTTTGCCGAATCTCAAATGCTGTCACAGAATCGAGGAAACTCTCTGACCCTGTAGCCTCCGCGACTGGAACGGCCAAGCTGCCATCGAAACTGACTGACAGCCTGCGAGGCATCCACGCACTAGATTATTCCGGCTAGCCGCTTACAGTAGGTAAAATCCTGTGATTTTTGACGAGCAGAGGGCAAATGTTCTGCCTGCCGCTGTTTTGCTGGCTGCAGGACTGTTATACATCGTAATCTGGCCGGAGAGCTTCTTTTAGCATAAATATTGCTTCGTTTGAACGACTAGTGGTTGAATGGTGATAGTGGGTTGAATGCTTTCTTAACATTGCCTCCCTCATCCAATGTGTTAAAGCTAGCCTCCTTCTGATAGCCACTAAATACTCAATAACCGACTGGAAGATCAACCAGTATTTCACACCTGACATAATAACACAAAATGATCTATTATGATAATCGTTGCTTTCCGACTCAGTCATTTGATTAGTTTGATCTATGCACTGTGTTCTTGACCAATACATTTATTACACAGTTTCTGATAGTTACCGCAATTATCGACTTGGAAATCGCTCGTATTCTCTAGGCCTTCCTCCAAACCTACTTTTAAGATGGCTGACTCAGAGGTTTCGATAGGACGTTGAAAGTAGATACGAAATCCAAAGAAGCAATCAGTCAGACTTGTCCAGTAGAATGACTACAGATATGAAAAATGTCCATCTGGCGCAGAAGTTTTGACCTTTTATTGATCTTAAGGAGACTGTTGTAATATCTTTGAATACAAAGCATAGCTTATCAGTAATTACGGGGTTTAGTGAGTCATGTATTGGCTCCATTCTTAAAAATTTCGATTGCGAAATCGACGTTGACCAGTATTGTGGACAAATAGCATTTGCCTTAAAAACTAGTTTGAATAAAAACTTGCTGTTCCAGAATGATTTACGGGCCTTAGATCAATCAAGTCTATGAACTGTTTCGTACGTCGAAGTTTAATCATTAAACTCAAAGTCCATGTAAATCAAAACGTCTGAGATAAGATATTGCAGACGAATACGGCATATTTCATAAGTGGATCATAATTGAAACCAGTTGGTGCTAACACCCGCTTTAAAGATGTAGTATCTAAGCAGCGACAGTTGAATGAATGACGATGATCTGAAAAAAGCACTGCGATTTATGTTCTCGGTAAAAGACCAAAAAACAGAGGCACAGCTGAATTAATGAAATGAGGAAATCGACAAACATTAACATTATCAGTGTCAATGCGAACCCATCCGCAAAAATATTCTTTTCAATGCATCATACTATTCATTATTTTAACGAAATATTTGGACTCATGTGATTGCAGGAACAAAATAAATATTTGCATTCTGTTCATTTTTTTCGTCCAGAAAGTTCCTTCTTCTTTGTCATGACTGATGGTTAATTATCGTATAAATGTGACTATGAACCTAGGTTTGAAATTCTGGACTGGTTAGGAATTGAGTAGGATTTGAGCATCAACATAAATAAACCATTTTCAGTCTCCAAAGTGATTTTTCTTTGAGAAATAGTTAGTAGTAAAAGTTTAACTAGAATTCTTATTCATATTTATGTTGAAGGTTTGCTTACGTGAAAAATATGTCAGGTTTGTCACAACATCTCGACAGGACAACAGTGGTCTATGTTTTGCATTATCAGCCATGTTCGATGAAAACCTCTTCAAAACCTTGCTGTATACTTCCATTTTCTGGGATTCTATCCAACTTGAACAGACGAATTTCTTCGTCTCAAGAAGCATGTTTCTGGTCCGTTTCTTCTTGTAACATTTTCTGCCAACTGCCACTTCATCTTTTTCACTTGGCAGTGGCATCGTAGATTCCTGTATGTGTATTTATCCATTCGTTCGCCTTCCTACTTTTTCTTGTTATTTTCAATATCTACATTTTGATGAGAACGGGTTTATGAACGGTTTCTAGACGTAGGGTTCACGTTCAATTTACATATTTCACATAATTTGCATATTGTTTAGCGAGGTTTGTACGAAATTGGTTATCTAACCAGTTGGTGCATGTAACAATCACTCGACTTCACGAATCAAACTTTGATTATAGAAGTATTTGTGAATAGCTATAGCTAGGAACGATATTACGTCAAAAAATTTATTCTGTTCTTCCTGATTTTAAGCCAAATCGTATGCATCTAAGGTACGTAAGAAAATTTATGATGCCTTTATTTTCATAAGAGTACATCTCCAAATAAAGCATTGCGTAATGGAAAATGGGGAAGGCGAAAGATTTCGTGAAGAGCGAAGATTATGAACGAAGTTATGTTAGTATTTCGGTTTGCACAAAAAATTGAAATGAGCCATCTTCTTTGAAAACACTTTGATTTGTAGTATAACAATTGCCATGTCGGATGTTATGAGTCACAGATATGGTTAATCCATTTTTTGCAGCTGACCTCTCTTCACTCCCGTTACCCCACCTTTCTTTGTCCTTCTTCTTGTCTATTATTTCGTTAATCCCTTCGAATTTCCTAATTTTTAGCCATGTCCTTTTCTTCCTTCCCTCTATCCTTCTCTTTCATATGTTCTTTGTTCTACATCTCCGTTGAGCGCTATTTGCTATCATTTTTAGTTCAAAAAGTTAGTCCAATTTTGTCCTCCCTCAGTCCGTAGATAGTGTCGGTTGGAATTTCGTGATTTGCGTTTGAATGCACCGTGTCCATTACTCTTGAGTGCAACTTCAGGTGCCTCAACGTGGTAGGATGGTAACAAGTATGTCACCGTTTGGAATATCTGTCTTCCTCCACTTTCATGATTCTGCTCTCATGGCAATCGTCTCATGAAGTTGATGGTGCGGTACTGATCTCAGTTTCTGTGCCACCAGCAGCATTTTTTAAGGCAGGGTCTACAGCCACGTGACAAGTGTGGCGTGTAGTCTCCTGTTTTCTTCCCACAAAGTGGTACTCATTCATCAACCTAGCAAGGAAGAATTGCGAGTTTCTCAGACAGAGACCTGTCGGTTTTGAGTTCGACGCTCTGCCGACTGAGCAACCCCGGCCTGAAGCAATGTTTGGTAAACTCATTACTCAAGAGAATTCGTGAATAAGATACAAATTGCCTTCGAGTGGAATTGAGGGTTCGACACCTCCGGAATTCGACGTAGATCTCTTTTACATTGTGTCAGAACTCCACTCGCAGTTCACCCGTGTGTAAACGGTTGAGAAATACACCCCTTGCGTTCTTTCCGAAATGGTGCTGTTAAAAATATTCATGACTTTAAAGCCATGCTCCAAAAGTTGCTATACAGTATGCAGCCCCATTTTTACAGAATGCATATTTATAGCAGAACAGCTAACCCTTGTATCTAACTGACAACAAAGATGCATAAGAGCATGCATGTCCTGTTTCAAGTTCTAGAGTTCGAGCAAAAGAGTTCTAGAAACTTTGTGTCGAACCCATGGCGAGTTCGCCGGCAGTTGATGGACGCTTCCGTGACTGTTTCCTTAGCACCGTGAGCAATGACTCGGTGCCACCGGCTGATCAGTCGGTTTTTCGACGCTGTTGACATTTCCCGAACACATCTAACGTCCGAACGTTCAAATTCTTTTTGCGGGGCCGTCGGTGACAGTAATTTATCTGCGTTACCTCGTCCACTTGGTTTTTGCGCTTTAAAACATTTGAAAATTACTCGCATGTGCCACGCATCTTCCGCTGTACGACCTGTCATTCGTCTAACGGTCAGCTAACTTGCCATTCATTCACAGATCTGGTTTCTGGAGTCCTTCCTCCGTCGGTGTTTGACATCGGGTCACGCACTCCCATGAAGCAACTGGTTGTCCTCGTCGTCGCTGAAGTTGTTTGTCGACTGATGTTACTCGCTTCCCTGGCGTTCGCACAGTCGCAGCGGATCCTGCAGCAACCGGCAGACACCAAGGCGGTCATCGGGGCTACCGTCCTGCTGCGTTGTCAAGTGGAGAACCAAATTAGCGCCATCACGTGGACCAAGAACAAGTTCATTCTTGGATCATCCCGGTCTCTGCCCGCTTATCCGCGCTACTCAATGGTCGGCTCCAGCGTCAAGGGTACGTCTGGCTGTGCATGCGTGGCTGCGATCGATGCTGGATTTTTTTGCTATAAAATCATAGACGCTTTTTCAGGTGAATATCATCTAGAAATAAAAAACGTGTCTTTATCTGACGATGCCGTTTACCAATGCACCCTGGCCAAAGGGGTCGACCAACCGGAGGAATCGTCGCAGCCCGTGCGACTCACCGTTATCGGTACTGCCAGTTTGCACAACGTTTACTCATCTCTAATTACGGTACCACTTAAGTGCCACCCACCTACGTGCAGCTCGCTAACAACAGCGTGCCAGCGTCAGTGAATGAGGACGACGAACAGCTGATCAGCTGTACTTCAGGGAATGCGAGACCGGCGGCCAGCATCCAATGGAAAGTGTCCTCGACAGCCAACGGTTCAGAGCCGTCTCGCCTTTTGGACAACGATCACGACTCCAAGGTACAGGCTAAGAAGCATGGCTTCCTCTACTCTACCACTAGCACAATCAGGCGAGTATTTTTCCTACTTTACACTAGCTTTGACTTTGATCTGTGTGTTGCATTTTGTTGTATTGCTTGAGATTGATCTCGATTAAACACAATTATTTCAGTTTCCTGCCGAAAGCAGCTGACGATGGTCATTTCATTGTTTGCGAGGTACGTCACGAAGCACTTGAATCACCACTGACATCCGCTACCAAACTGAATATCCGATGTAAGCACGCGTTTAATGTCATTAGCCAACGACAGTAGCTTCAATGGAACAGCTTTCTTTTGTCAACCCTTAATTTTATATGCTTTCTATGTTGGATGAATGCAAGAGTTTGATTTAATTTTCCACCACCATTCATATTAATTATACTTATTACAGGACGGAAGTCCTTAAATTAAAAGTCCTCTCTCTTAGCCGATGTTGAAACTGCTAGCTACCGGTTCTCTGATCTTCTGATAGAAAAAAAAATTTACTGCTTCTTTGCAGAAGGTCTCGTTTTTGACATCTTCTGAAACTCATCTCCAATACTCACTGGAAAGGCTTGCAACCGAAATGACGTGGCCACCTTGCTTGTGACCATATCTAAAACGAGAAGCCTAGTGCTTTGTGTTTCCCCATGATTGTTTCTCTCGTCAGATTAACATAGAGGCAGTGGAGCAGGTGGAAGGGTTCAAGTATCTAGGAATAGTATTTAATAGTGACGGAAAATTTGAGGAACAGATCGACCGGATAATTGGAACGGACAATCGCGTTCGGTATGAATTATCCCGAACCGTTGTGACTAAGGCACACCTTAGTCTAAAGATGCTAATCCCGATGCTCACCTGTAGTCATCAGTGGTTGGTAATGACCAAAAATTTCGATCCCCTGTACAAGCGGCTGAAATGGGTTTCCTGTGATGAATCGCTGGACTTGTACTCTCGATGTGATCCGGACTGTGGATATGGGTGAGGGCCTTGGTGCATAGTCCTGACTCTTCAGACTGAGAAGTCACAGCTGCGATGGTTTGGGCATGTGTTGCGAATGCCTCCAGAAAGGAAAACGAAACAGCTATTGCTTCCTCAACAGACAGACCGATGAACCAGCGAACGATCAAAAATGACTTGGACAACTACCTCGACACCTTTTGCTCCAAACTTGGGCTATATTCTGCCGAAGCTCAGATGCTGAGATATGACTGTGAATGGCGAAGATACGGCGTGACATTTGTGCATCGGCACCCCGAGAAGATAAGCGGTCATTGGAGCTGCCTTACTGAGTAAC